CAACATTTGGTCTAAAACAAGCCCCCTTTGTGAGTCCATTAAGTTGACACTGTGAGCTCAGAGCTTTCTCAGATTCCTTCTGGAATAAAGGGATCTCTAAGAGTCTCCCTGCCTGGGCTGCCAATGAAGAAAGGCACCAGACTGCTCACACCAAACACCCACCTGTTTGCATAGGAGTGGGCACAGCTGATTCCCCTGGGAGGGACAGGTCAGCCCCCCGCCCCAGGTGAAGGAGCCACCCTTTGTCAACTCACGAGGCCACCAGACTATCTTAGGCAGGAGGCTGAGGCTGTGACTTCACTTTCTTTGGGTCTGGCTCCGGTAGGATTTTAAAATCAAGCCATCATTTTTCCTGCACACTTGTGATGAGGAGTGAGGAGACTCAGGAAACTCTCACAGCCACTCAGTTTCCTGGAACTAACTTTTGTCTTTCACTTTTTTTTTTTGGCCATGCCATGCAGCATGGAGGATTTTAGTTCCCTGACCAAGGATTGAGCCTGTGCTCCCTGCAGTGGAAGTGTGGAGTCTTAATCACTGGACTGCTAGGGAAGTCTTGTCTTTCACTTCTTTTCATTGCAACGGAAAACATGCTTAGTGTTCGAATTTTAAATTTTATACAAGTACGTCCAGTTAAAACACCTCCCACTTCCACTTCTAATGATAACCACAGTTATCAGTTTACCGAGAGTTTTCCTCAGTCCTTTGGTGGTTTCTGACCTTAAAACTTGGGTGGTGGTGGGTTCCATTCCTGCCCTGGGCAGGTATTTACTCCCTAGTGATTTTCGAGGCTTCCCTTAAAAGCAGGCTTACCTACACTGACCGTGAATGATGTTATGAACCACTTTATTTTTTTCTCTACCAATTCTGGTAACATCTTTGTAGGGTATCAGTCACTGAGACAGCCCTTTGGGGCTGTTGCTGTGGTCATCAGGTGCTTCATTTTCCAAGTAACAGTGGTTTCTTGTGTGGTGTTTTCTTGAAACCAAGTTTGGGCCTCCCCCTTTCTTATACTGGACATGGTGTGATTTTATAATAACCTTCTTTCAGAAGCACTTGTCTTGTCTCTTGAGTTTTGCAGCTGCCTTTCAGTGGGCCTGCCCCTGGGGAGCTCAGGCCCTTGGACTGGGGAAAGCAGTCCCCCGTCTTGGGGCTCACTGTGGTCCTGGAAGGGATGCTGAGCTCAGGCCTGGGGGTGACTGGCATGTGTCCTGGGGCAAGGTCTCCAGATAGGGACCAGGATGGTTCCAGCCTTGGCATGGGGAGTACACTCAGATCTACAAAGAGATCATTCACCACTTGGGTGGGAAGACAGATGGGGTGCTGATAAGCCCCTCACCCCTTTGGTCTCTCTCCTTTGATTGTGAGTGTCCCTGAGGTTCTGGCTTTGCCTCTCAGACTGCCAGCTCTCCTTGGACCCAGGGGCCCACGGATGCCTTCTCCCAGAGGCCTGTGGAGCCCAGAATGCCCAGAGCCTGCTCACTCTTCCTGGTGCCCCCTGCTCCCACCTGAGGAGCAAAGCCCCACCCTGTGCAGATCCAGGCCAGGCCACTTGCCTCTCCTGCGCCTGCACAGCTGGTGGTCAGCAGTCAGCTCAGGGTCTCCCTTGGGACCCTTTCTCCCTCCTGGCCCCTCATCCTGGGCCCCCTTCTGGCCCTGCCATGTGGAGGACATCCTGGAGCTGTTTCCAGGGTCTGCACTTCTGAGCGTGGAGTCCCAAAGGCCCTGTGGGCCGATGAAGGCCCCAGGAGGTCTCTGCAGGTCCTGCGGTCCTCACCTAGGCTGTCCTGCCTGGCAGAGGCTCCTTCCCTTGTCATTCTGGCACATTCTTCTTAGCTCTGGCCTCAGCTCCTTTCTGACCCACCTCCTGCCCCTCCTCCCCCTGCCTCAGCTTCCAGCTGTAGGTTTAGCCTCTTGTGGCCAAAGGGAGGTGGTCGGCACGCCGGGAACCAGCAGAGACTCAAGGAAGTGGGAGCCCCCAACTTTCGATTGATTTTTTTCCATTTGATTACTTACTTTATTTACTGACATTGTGGATACAAATCCAGTTCACTTTTTAAACTGATGTGTAGCACTCATTGCCCAATGACACAATCATTTCTTTATTATAATATAGGTGGGCATTTAGGTTCTTTCCAAAGTTTCTCCATTAAAAGCAGTTGCTGTTGTTGACAGTCACTCAGTTGTGTCCGACTCTTGCAGCCCCATAGACTCATCTGCCAGGCTCCTCTGTCCATGGAGTTTTCCAGGCAGGGATACTGGAGTGGGTTGCCATTTCCTTCGCTAGGGGATCTTCCTGACCCAGGAATCGAACCTGCATCTCTTCTGCATTGGCAGGTGGGTTCTTTACCACTGAGCCACCAGGGAAGTCCCCATTAAAAGCAATAGTATGATTTGAAAACTCTTACCTACCTAAATACATGGAGAATTTTCATCTGGTCATCTGTCCTTAAACTTTCTGCTGTTGCATCCTCCCGACCCCCAATCTCCTACCCTGTCCCATCCCCCGCCCACCTCTCCACCAAGGAATTTTTAACCATTTACATATGTTTTCAAAGCCAAACTTCAGACTTTATTTGGATTTCACCAGCTTTTCTGTAAATGTCCCCTTTTTGTTCCAGGATGTTATGCTGGCTGTGGTGATGCATTTACACCCTGGTTTTACAGACTGTTGGTCATTTATTCTTAGAGGAAACTTGGTTAAGCACTGTCAGTTGTATAAACCTAAACAAATTATTCTAACTTCTCTGAGCCTCAGGCCTCTGCTGTAAAATTAGGAAAAAAAAAAAAAAATTTCGGGAAGATCCAATAAACTCTTGATACGAAACACTAAAAAGTGTTATTATGCGTGTTTGTTTTCCATATGAGAGATTGCATTTCCTTCATCTGTTATTCTTAAGCTGATCAAACGTCATGAATGTTTTCCCTTTAAAATGTTCAGAAGGGAAATAAAACCCCTTTCTCCCCAGAATATACAACTTCCATCTTCACAGCTGCACTGAAACCACAGACTTTTGACATGATTACACAAGACTTGTACATGATAACATTTGAGACACCCTGGAGGCCCACTGGGTTTTGCATTTATTCCTCTGTTCATGGGAACATTAGTGCAAGAGTCTCAGGCTAGGTGAAGAAGACAGGGTCCAGGACCCTTGAAGCACATGGTCCCTCCAGATTGATAGGTGGGTGATTTGTAGTCAAAGAGGTCCTGGTGGGTGATAGTTGCCCATTCTTTCTGCCAAAGATGATGAGGGTGGACACTGGGTTTCAGGGGTGCAACAAGTATGTGAATTGTTGAATAATACATTGCTTGGGTGCTAGGGATCTTCCCTGCAGCAATGGAGAGTACCCAGGAGAGAGAGCATCCTTCAAGTGCACAGCGGTGTATGGATCCATTGGTTGTAGCTGGTAACCAGGGACTTGTCTGCAGGCAGCGTGGAGTCAGGCTGGTCCTCAGAGCAGCTGAGGCATGGAGTTGGGTCACAGGACAGGGAGGAGGACAGAGTGGGAAGGGGGGAGCTATGGAGGATCATAGATAGGGAGGGGCACAGGCCTGGGTACAGAGGGCATAGATGGGGCAAGGGCATGGATCAGACCCCAGGCTGTGGGTGCTGGGCACAACCAAATGCCTGGAGGAGGGTGAGCTGTGGAGGACCACAGACAGGAGAGTATGCGGCTTGGGAAGACAGAGGGTTTGACGACTGGGGTTAGATGAAGTTAGGGGTGTGTCTCCATGGTGGGATTATTGCCCATATGAGAAGCAGAGATATCAGAACTCACTCTCTCTGCCAAGTTGGGACACAGAGGATGTGCCATCTGTTTACCAGACAGGCTGTTAGCCAACGTGGAATCTGCCAGTACCTTCATGTTGAACTTGTAGCATCTAGAACCGTAAAATAAATTTTAAGTCCCCGAGTCTGTGGTATCTGTTTTGACAGCCTGAGCTGAGACTCAGTGTAACTCAGGTGAGTGGTCTGTGCTCATAACCTGGGTGCAGAGGGCATAGATGAGTGAGGGCATGGCTCAGACCGCAGGCTGTGGGTGCTGGGCAGGAACACAGTGCCCTGGAGCTGGCTCAGGGGAAGGGTGATGATGGGCAGAGAGCAGCACCCAACCCTCTCCTGGCGGGTCAGCCTCTTCCCAAGAGAGGCCCCCGGACCTCTACCAGATCTCTGATTTCCATCCTCTCATTCTCCTAAAGGTAGCAAAACTGCTTTCTCTGGCTCCCCAATAGACCCCTGCTAAGTGGAGCTCACCCTCTCACCTGGGTGGGCCCAGCATCCTCTTCACCCTTGTCCCTGTGCTGGGGTCATGGGGATGGGGGGCAGCCATCCTGGGGTGGGAAGTAGCTTGTGTCATCCACACCCCCTGCCCCGTCCTGTCTGCCCACCTCCCGGGGCGGGGTCCCTGGGAAGTGAAGGTCACGGGATGGGATGTAGGGACCCTCATTCCCATGTAAAGATGCCAGGGACACCCAGCCAGGCCAGGCATGGCCGGGAGGGGCCAGGGATAATGAACCCACCCCAGCCACGTGTGTGGTTAGGGTGGCTGACCTTGGGCACCTGTGCTAGGCTCCCAGCGGCTCCTCTCAACCTAAAGGCTGCAGCATGCTCTGGTGATCGCTGATCTTGGGGTGGTTCTGCTCCCCTTTGGTCGGTGGTCCTGGGTGCTCCTATAAGTGGTCCTGGATCCCCCTTTTTCCGTCCCTCCCTGCGCTCCAGGACGCTGGTCTGAGCAGGGGTCCCCGCCCTCACCATCACTGGCACACACAAGCCTCTCCTCCCCCAGCAGCCCTGAGCCTCTGCCCTCTGCCTCCCTGGGGCCAGGGGTGAGACCCAATCTGGGGCAGTGACACCCGGGCTATTTTGGAGCTGGGCTGGGCTGGGCGGGCAGGCGCTGTGGGGGCGGGGCGGGGGCGGGCCCGGCCTTCTTCAGCGGATGTATCCGCCTGTCCTTTCGTCCCCGTCCAGTTTGAGGACCGGCAGGCGTGCGGGCTGCTGGGTGGGAAGCTTGTCGGTCCTGGGCCCCCGGAGGAGGTGAGACCCAGCAGCCCCCGCCGCACCATCTGAGCGCCTCGCCTGGGTGCTGCCTAGTGCCCCCGGGAGAGACAGGTGAGGAGGCAGAGCGCAGGAGGGCTGGGGGGCCAGCCAGGGCCCTTGAGGACGGCGGAGCTGAAGGTCACGGCTCTGGGGGACGGAGGGACCTGGGCTAGAATTTCAGCCAGGCCACGCTGCTCTCTTGGCCTCCGGGGGAGGAGCCTGCCAGTGCCAAGATGGGGGCTCCAAGGGGCTGAGGAGCCCAAGCGGGGTCCACAGGTGGGCATCTGAGGGAGGAAGGGGCTTCCCTGAGATGCTGGGGTTCGGGTCCTGGCTTGGTCTCTCCTCCTGAAACGCCTGATCCTGCCCTTGTGTCTGTAGCTCCCGTGACCCCAGCTCCCACCATGGCAGGGGGAGGAGGAGGAGACTGTGGATGAACCTGGGCCCAGAAGGGCCTTGGGTGGTCCCCACCCCACACTCAGCTTGAAGCAGGGTGGCTCCAGAGTCCTCTGGCATACCCCAGGCTACCTTGGCCCTGCTGTCCAGTGAGGATGCCTGCCTGGTGTGGGGGTGTCAAGGGGGGTCTTAGACCTCCATGGTTTTGCTGCACTGGGAGTGGGGCATGCAGGCCCTGGACAGAGGATTCATCTACACGGCTTTAGAGGATCTTGGAGTCTCTGCCCACCCTTGCGCACCTGCTGAGAGCTGGCTCCCCCTAAGTATGTGCAGAGATGAGACCTCCCCATCCTTCTTTTCTAGGGCCCAAGGGGCTTCCAGCTGTGGAAGTGGCCCCCTGACCCTGCACAGACTTGCTCATGAGCTCAGAGCAGTGTCTTCCCTCCCACACCTGCTCTGGGTGTGGCAGGGGCAGGGTGCCATGTCCTGCCTTGGGGAACCCCCAGATTGACTGTATAATTCAGGAGGCAGTGGTGTGTTGGGAAGAGATCAGAACTCAGGCCCCTGGGGAACTGGTGTCAAAGTTAATTCTTCCACAGAGGGACGGTGAGGCCCAGGAGGTTGTCCATGGAGGCTGGTGGCCACCCGCCCAGGTCCTTCTCAGGCCAAGAACCCAGCCAGGCCATGGGGGAGCTAATGAAGGGGGGGGCAGTGGGCAGGGCAGAGGTGCTGACTGCACAGTGAGTCAGCAGGCTGGTCCCAGCTTACCTCCTTGAGGGGGATTAAGCGGATTAGGTCCCGAATCACAGGATGGGGAGCTGGAGGGCCTGGGAACCTTGCCCTGTTTGTCCCACGGTGGGCAGCCCCATGCTGAAGGCCCAGCTCCCGGGGTGAAGAGTTAAGGCACTTGGGGACAGCCCAGGGCCCATGGGGCCCATTTGTGCTGGCTCTCCTTACAGAAGCCTGTGTGTAGGCAAGGCCCAGTTTCACTTCACCCACCGGCGCTGGGGGCCAGCAGGATCCAACCTGGAGTTGGCAGAGGCCGGTCAGTCAGAGGCATTGCTGGGGCCAAACCCACCCCTGCAAGGTGTCCAGTCGGCAGAGCCACAGCCAGTGGAGACTCAGCCAAGACCTGCAGTGACTGGGCTCCAGGCCCCCCACAGCCCCCTGGTTGGGCCTGGCTAGCTGGCCCACCCATTCTCAGCCTTGATATCCTTGACTCCTCTTGCAGGGTTCTCAACTGTCCTCCACAGACACCACTGACCTTCCCCATTGCGACTTCTGATGAAAGGAGGCAGGCACTCATAGCAAGCGCTCGTGGGCAGCCCTGTGTGCTGGAGGGTGCCCACCCCTCCAGCTGCAGAATTTCCATTCTTTGCTCACTGATGAGCACCCCCCTTCAGGGGTCGAGGGGATGTGTGGTGGGACCCCAGGAGGGGTGAGATGTGACCCAGGACAGCGGCAGGAGGGGCAGGCCCTGTGTACTGCACTCTCTGTTGGGGAATGTCCAGTGAGGAGGGCCGGACAGCTGCGCACACAGCCTGCAGGGCAGCCCGAATGCTTGAGTGGGGAACACCGCCGAGGAGAACGGGGAGCAGAGGGGGCAGGCCAAGCAGGGGGCTCCGAGGAGAGCCTGCTGCAGTAGAGAACACGTGACCTCTGGTGCGCCTTAGAGAGCACAGGCCAGCTGGGCACCTCACGAGCCTCCACGGCCACGGTGCAGAGTTGCCTCTTTCCGACTGGGAGACACTAGGTAGACTGGAGTTTTAGGCTCCAGGAAGCAGCAGTGTGTGGGGAGATGGACACCTGATGGAACCCGGAGTGGCCAGGAAGGACGGGGAAGGTCCTGGCGGTGACAGATAGCATGGCAGAGGCCGCGCAGGGAGGGCAGGCTTGGTGCTGGTGCAGTGTCTGGGGATAGGGGCCCAGCTGGATCTTGAGTCCGGGCAGCAGGCCTGGAGCTGGGACAAGAGGGAGGAGATGCTCCAGCCAATTAAAAAGAGCCCATCTGGGGGGTGGAGGTGGGGCCAAACTCCAAGGCCCAGAAAGAGGCAAACTGGCACTTCTGGACCACCGTACCGTCTGGTGATGCCACCTGCAAGGACGGGGTGTGTGGGAGCAGATGGGAGCAGAATGGGGAGACGTTCACCTGTATTAAGCTGAATTTTCCAGGCGGCACTGGGCCGGTGAAGTAGCCAAGGCGGACACAGGCACAGTAGCCAGGCGGGGCTCTGAGCACTCCAGGGACTCATCCCCACCATGCCCTCCCCCACCCCACTCACAGGTTCTCCCGCCTCTGCCCCCACCATGGATCACTCCTCGTTCAGCGGCGCACCCCGCTTCCTAACCCGGCCCAAGGCCTTCGTGGTATCGGTGGGCAAAGATGCCACGCTGAGCTGCCAGATCGTGGGCAACCCCACGCCGCAAGTGAGCTGGGAGAAAGACCGGCAGCTGGTGGAGGCGGGTGGTCGCTTCCGCTTGGCCCAGGACGGCGACTTGTACCGCCTGACCATCCTGGACCTGGCGCTGGGCGACAGTGGGCAGTACGTGTGCCGTGCGCGCAACGCCATCGGCGAGGCCTTCGCGGCGGTCGGCCTGCAGGTGGACGCCGACGCTGCGTGCGCCGAGCAGGCGCCTCACTTCCTGCTGCGGCCCACCTCCATCCGCGTGCGCGAGGGCGCGGAGGCCACCTTCCGCTGCCGCGTGCGCGGCTCGCCGCCCATGTCGGTGAGCTGGGCCAAGGACGGGCGGCGCCTGGGTGTGCTGGACGCCCCCCGAGTGCGAGTGGAGGAGAGCGGCGAGGCGAGCGCTCTGCGCATCCGCGCCGCACAGCCGAGAGACAGCGGCACCTACACGGTGCACGCGGAGAACCCGCTGGGCGCCGCCAGCGCCGCCGCCGGGCTGACGGTGGACGCGGAGGCGGAGGCAGCCAGCTCGCCGGGGGCCTCCACCGCCATGCTCCTGGCGCACCTGCAGCGGTTACGAGGACGAGCAGGAGAACTTCGTGCTGAAGATCCTCTTCTGCAAGCAGTCAGACTGTGGCCTCTACACCTGCACGGCGTCCAACCTCGTGGGCCAGACCTACAGCTCGGTGCTCGTCGTCGTGAGAGGTGAGCTCCTGGCGGCTGGCACGAAGTCGCTGTGTGCAGTGAGCACAGGCGGAGGCCCCTCCCCGGGCCTTCCATCCCTTCCTTCCAGCGGCTGCTGCCCCTGCCATTTCCCTCTCGTGTAGAGAAATCCGTGGCTGGAGGTCTTGGCGGCAATTGCTGTGGTGTTTCATTGTCTTTGTGAAAGTAACAGGCGTGTCCAACCAAGTGCTTGTCACTAACACCCCCTCCCAAGGGAGATGGTTGCCCCGTGGCTGAGCCTGCCCTGTCCAGGCTGGGGGTGACCCAGGCTCCCGCCTCTCCTACAGGATGCTGGTGGAGGGGGGAATCTCCCCAGCAGAGCTGGAGGGAGGCGGGAGAAAGGACAGATCTCGGTTCTGGCCGCAGGCTGGGCTGGGGCGCAGACTGAACGTGACTCTGGGTCAGTTTGCAGGCTCCTGTCCCCAGCGCACCGGGGCAGCTGTGGACAACACCGTCAGAACTTGCTGGGGGGCTGTTCCTTCTTGTTTCCTAAGACCACCCTCGCTGTGGTTGGAGTACCACCTCCACTTTTTCCCAGCTGTAGAATCTCCCGCAGGGCGCTTCAACCTCTGTGTGCGTGTGTCTGCTTCTTTGTTTTTTTGTTTTTTTTTTAATGCAGGGAAGTGTGCTGGGGTTGAGCAGTTTTTCAGGCCAGTGTTTGTCCAGTGGACTCCCTGCTGTGTGAGTCCAGCCTCTCCTGGCTGTCCAGGACCACCAGCTCAGGGGGCTGCCCCGCCGTGCTGCTTGCTGTGACTTCACCTGCGTCGTTTCTCCTTCTTCCTTCTCTCTATTCTTGGGGGAAGGGGCTTTCTTTAAGTGCCGTTCCCTCTCCACTGTCCTCCCTCCTCTGCTCTCCCCCTGCCTCCCTCTGTCCCCGCTCCCTGAAGCTCCTCTGCCCTCTTACCCACCCTCTGCCCGCAAAGCCCCCAACCCCTACCCTGGCTCCCTGCCTCCAGCCCTGCCTTATACCTGCCTTTCCCTGCCTCCTTCCCTTCTTGCAGCCTCTTCCCTGCCCCTCTGCACTGCCCGCTCACCCCCAGCCTCTGGCGCTGCTCCGGCCTGCCCCTCTTCCCCTCCCCGCCCCACTCATCTGGCCCTCCTTCTGCAGAGCCCACGCTGCCCTTCAGAAAGCGCCTGCAGGACCTGGAGGTACCGGAGAAGGCATCAGCCATGTTCCAGTGTGAGGTGCCGACGCCGGACGTGGAGTCTGCCTGGTATAAGGAGGAGACGCGGCTGTGGGCCAGCGCCAAGTACCTCATCGAGGAGGCGGGCGCGGAGCGCCGGCTGACGGTGCTGAACGTGTCCTCTGACGACGACGCCGTGTACATCTGCGAGACGGCAGAGGGCAGCCGCACGGTGGCCGAGCTGGCCGTGCAAGGTGCGCGGGCCGCGGGCCGCGAGGCTGGGCAGCATGTGGGTCTCCCAGGACCTGGGCCAGTGACCGAGGCCCTGGGCGGCGGGGCAGGCAGGATCCCGGGACACGGCTGGGTCAGGGAGGGGCGGGGTGGGAACTCTGGGTGCAGGGGCGGGAAGGAGGTGTGGGTGGGCAGGCCTGTGGGGGTCGCTCTGACCAGCTCTACCCCCTTCCCCCTCGCCAATGCTCCTCTGCCCACTGCAGGCAACCTCCTTCGGAAGCTCCCGAGGAAGACAGCTGTGCGAGCGGGGGACACGGCCATGTTCTGTGTGGAGCTGGCCAAGCCGGAGGGCCCCGTTCAGTGGCTATGGAACCAGAAGGCGGTGGTGGCTGGGGGCCGGGTGGCCGTCACTGCTGAGGGCACGTGCCACACGCTGATCATCTCCCGGTGCAGCCTGGAGGATGTGGGTGAGGTGGCCTTTGTGGCTGGGGACTGCCGGACATCCACCCAGTTTTGCGTGTCAGGTAAGGGCCGTGGGAGCACCTGTCGGATGGAGGGGCCCTGTCCCTGCCCACCCGCTGGGCCCTGCTCTGACTTTTTGCCTGCTGCGGGGAGCACTGTGCATTGTGGACCACCTAGGTTGTCGGGAATGCCTAGGTTGTAGATCTGGTTCTGTGGGGTGCGTGATTTATCTGACCCTCCTCCGTGATGGTCACAGTAGGCGTCCGCAAAGGGCGAGTCCTAGTGCTGCCCAGCCCCCCCTCCCCGCCGCTGAAGCACAGCGTGTGGGGGAGCATTGCGTGTGTCCTCTTTCTTGGCCTTTGGTGCTGTGACCAGCTGGCACAGGATCAGCCCTTTGCTGGGGCCAGGGGTGTGCCCCTGCACGTGGGTCTCAGCACCCTTGGAAGGGTCCTTGTGCCTTGCCTTAACCATCATCCAGCCCAAGATCCCAGTGCACAGACGGGGTCAAGGCTGAGAACTGGAAAGAGTCCCTTTCCAGGCCCCGTGGACAGCTCATGGTGGCCCTGGGCCAAGCGTGGCCTCTGAGGCCCGGGTACTTGTTCCACTGCAGACAGAGTTACGGTCACCAGCTGAGACTGGGGTGCTGGGCCCGCAGCACGGTCTTGGGCTGGCAGGCCCCTCGGGCTGTGGCCATTCCCACCACCAGGGTGGTGCTCCCGATCCCCCCTCCTCCCCGGGAGGGCTGGGAGTTCTGTCACAAGAACGTTTCCCTACTGTGGTATTGGACCCAGGGCTTGGGGAGGGGGTTCCCAGTTTGTGACATGGGCCCGTCCTCTGCTTAGCCCCCAGGAGGCCGCCCCTGCATGCTCCTGAAGCCCCCGTGGTGAAGGCCCGGACAGAGAACTCCGTGACTCTTGCCTGGTCCCCACCACCCCCCGGGGACCGCCCTGCTGCCATCGACGGCTACCTGGTGGAGAAGAAGAGACTGGGTGCCTACACCTGGAGCCGGTGCCATGAAGATGAGTGGGTGACCACGCCTGAGCTGACTGTGACTGGCGTGGCTGAGGAGGGGGAATTCCAGTTCAGGGTGTCAGCTGTGAACAGCTTTGGCCAGAGCCCCTACCTCGAGTTCCCAGGAACTGTACACCTGGGTAAGTGCGGAAGGCTCTCCTCCACGGCACCCTGATGGCAGTCTGTGGGGCCGTCTGCCTCTGAATCGCCCAGACCTAGAGTGTAGCCCAGTGTTGGAGAGGCCAGTGTGGTCCTGCGTCCTCTTTGTGGTAGGGGGCGGGCCCAGGATCCTGATGCTATTGAAGGCTCTTTGGTGGGAAGGCCAGGTGACCCCAGCACAGGGCTCAAGCCCCCAGGAGCTGTCTGTGCCCCCCAGCCCTAGGGCATGGGGCTACCCACTGGGTCTGTGGGAGCAGAGGGGGATCTTGGGTAGCTCTAACTTGTTCTCACTCCACCCTGGGCCTGGCTTTCACTCAGGGTTTCCATGTGCTTGCCCAGTGGACTTCCTCGAGGAGGGGTTATTTGGGGCTGGGAGGTGGGGAGGGGCCCAACTACCTCCTGAATCTCTCACTCCGCAGCTCCCCAGCTGGCTGTGAAAACGCCTCTGAAGGCAGTGCAGGCAGTGGAAGGCGGCGAGGTGACCTTCTCCGTGGACCTCACCACGGCCTCATCAGGGGAGTGGTTCCTGGACGGGCGGGTCCTCAAGGCCAGCAGTGTGTATGTGATACACCGGGATGGCACCCGCCACACTCTCACCATCCGCTCGGTGCCTGTCAGCCTGCACGGGGCGGAGCTCAAGTTCGTAGCTGATGGCATCGAGAGCAGCATCCGCATGGAGGTCCGAGGTAAGGACCCTGTCTTGTGACCCCAGGGCTTCCCCAGGCCACATTTCCTTGAGGGATAGGGGTGGGATGGAGTCCCTGCAGTCTCAGGGATCCTGGGAGATCTGCTGTAGCTCTCAGAGCAGCTGGGTAATGTGGGGCCAGTCAGTGGGGTGTGCAAGGCCGTGCAAGGCCACTAGATGTGAGTGGAGGACAGTCTAAAGAGTCCGATGATGCCAAGCTTCAGTTCTGTGATCTGTGCCCCTGCCGCTTTCCTCTCCTCTCCCCTTCCCCTCTTGTTGATTCCTTCTCCTATTCCCCTTCTTGTCCTGTGTCTTCTTTTCTTGCCTCTCGGAGTCCGTTCCCCAATATCCGGCTCTTCCTCCTCTGTCCGCTGGCACTTTCTACCCCCATCCCCTTCCTCCCATCCACACCCTGCTGTCCACGCCTTCATCCCGCTTCCCCACCCTCCTCCTCTGGTCACTCTCCTCCTTTCACCGCCCTCTTCACTTACACCCGCTTGTCACCTGTCTGTGACTTCCAGCGGCCCTGGAGCTGACGGCCAAGCGTCCGGCACCCGCGGCAGCGGCTCGGGAGGTGCTGGCCCGGCTGCACGAGGAGGCCCAGCTCCTGGCCGAGCTTTCGGACCAGGCGGCAGCCGTGACATGGCTCAAGGACGGACACACGCTGTCTCCCGGCCCCAAGTATGAGGTGCAGGCCTCAGCCGGGCAGCGGGCACTGCTTGTGCGGGACGTGAATCGAGAAGACGCGGGCCTGTACGAGTGCGTCAGCCGCGGGGGCCGCATTGCCTACCAGCTGTTGGTGCAAGGTGACACGAGTGTGTGTGTGTGCCTCCCCCGCTCAGCTCTGGAGAAGCCTTGAGTGGCAGGAGCCGCTGTCCTCGGCCCCCGTGGGGAAGGTTGGGGGGGGGAGCAGCTCTGCCAAGCCCATGGCGGGGAGTAGGATGGGCTCAGGTTACCTGGTGGGAGGTCAGAGGTGTGTTGGGGGGGTGCTCAGCCCACCCCGCGGAGACAGTGGGGGAATGGGATGGTGTCAGGTGACCACGTGGGGAGGGCAGAGGTCTGGGCAGCTCTGCCGACCTCCTGAGGAGGCTAGGCGGTCAGGTCACCCCTGAGGGTAGGGTGGGGAAGCAGGAGCCCGGCCAGCCCCGGTGGGAGGGTGGGGGCGGGACCTCTGCTCAGTAGGGGAGGGCGGCACTTGGTGGTTGAAAGTCAGCCGCGCAGGCTGCTGGCTCTCCAGGTCTGGGCGAGGGCTTCTGTCTGCCACGATCCTGAGGCCCAAGCATCTTCGTTTACTAGCTGCGTGGGCATGTGTGTGGTTAGGGCTCTGTCAGCCCCCTGACAGAGGGGGCCCTTGTAGGCCTCACACCCTCTTTGTGAGGACACGGCTGGTGGCTATGTGGGTGCCGTGGCGGGGAGACCAGCCCACTTGGAACTGGAGACCTCAGACGCCCATGCACATGCTCCCTGGTACAAGGATGGCGTGGAGCTCGGCTGCTCCTGCTGACACTTCTCCCAGGAGGATGTAGGCACACGGCACTGGTGGTGGCTGCCTCAGGCACTGTGCAGGATGAGGGCACCTACTAGTGCTGAGGGGATGAGGACTCTGGACTCCTGACTGTGTGTCTGTGGTCAGTGCCCTGCCTTCTGGGCTTGGTTTGTGGGGAGCAGTCTGGCTGCTTCCAACTTGCAAGGCCAAGCTCTCTCACTTCATTTCTTCTGAGAATACTTGGGAGTAGGGGTAGTTACTCCCGGATTTGGGTAAAGAAACTGCCCACGAAACATATGTATGTATATATGTGTGTATATATATATAGGAAGAATACAGGTTTGTAGTATAAAAAATAGGGACGAAATTTAAGACCCATCTCTTCTTTGTAAAGATGAGGAAATGAGGCAGAGCAGACCTAGAAAGGGTTGGAAGTGTCCTTGGAAGGTTAGGTTTGGACCTTGGTAAGTCTGAGGTCCTGGCTCTTTCTTGACGCCATTGAGGTCTCTTGGCAGATTCTCCAAGTCCAGCTCTGCCCCATCCTGGCTTTCAGGAGGGTCTCTGCCTTGTCCCTGATGCGTCCTTCCATCTGCACACAGGCCCTAGGGCCATCTGCCCATCAGGAGCTCTGAGGCTGCTTCCCATCATGCCCAGGAGGGCTTGGAGTACCTGGACCACCTGTGCCCGTGGAGGGTCCCATGTGCAGCCCCTAATCACAAAGGATTTTCATGGTGGATCTGAGACTTCCAGGTCTCGAGCACAGCTCTGTCATGACTCCAGGACTTGGAAAACCTCTCTTGGGCAGGACCTCTGGCCGTGCATCCCTCCTGGTCCCTGGAGTCCTCAGGGTGTTTTCCAGGGAGCAGCCGGCCCTGGGGGAAGTACAGGCTGAGGCGGGGGCCGGTGCCACCCTGAGCTGTGAGGTGGCCAGGCCCAGATGCAGATGATGTGGTACAAGGGTGGGAAGGAGCTGAGCGCAAGCTCAAACGTGGGCCTGGAGGCCAAAGGCTGCACCTAGAGTCTGGTAGTGCAGCAGGCAGGGAAGAGATGCTGAGGAACACAGTCGTGAGACTAGGGGCCAGAAGGTCTCCTTCCACAAGTCAGTTGATGAAGCAGACTTATAGCCACTGAACAGCAGCAGGCCTGGAGGAACCATTTCAGTGTGGATGGTGGCAGTCCCAGCAGACTCAGCAGGTCTGTGTCCGTCAGTTACACAAGTAGCCCTAGAACTTAATGGCCCAATGGAGCAATCCATGGGCAGGAATTCAAGCAGCGTCAGTATGAGTGGCTCATCTCTGCTCTACATGGTGTTGGCCAGGACGAGAGGATCCAGTCTGGCTTCATCTGTGTGTCTGATGTCCCAGGGGGCTGGCTGGGATGGCAGGCCTCTCTCTTCTAGTAATGTTGTCTGTCTGGGACCATGCTTTTCTCTCTCCTTGTGACATCTCATTCTGAAGGCCTCTTTCTCCATGTGCGTGGCCTGAGCTCCTTCATATAGTGACAAGGTTCCCTTCAGGAAATAGGAGATGCTACGAGGTTTGTTAAGGGTTGTTTTCACCAGCCCCAGAGTGTTACATTCTGCATGTTCTATTGCACAAAGCCAGACATAAGGTCAACCTAGTTCCAAGGGATTGGAAAAGAAGACTTTGCTGTTAATGAGGGGTGCCTGACTCATTCGGGACAGTTTCTTACAGTCTACTACAGGAACATGGCTCTGTCTGTCTAGATCTTTCTTGAGCATGGGATAAAGATCTTTCTAATGCTTATTGCCCTATGCTCACAAGATGGCTTCCACAGCTCCAGCCATCGTGTTCAAGGTGGGAAGAACATGTGAGGACTGTGTGTGTGTTTGTTTTCTTTCCTTTTCACTACTATGTTGTCAGTTATCACAAACCCAGCAGCCTAAAATAATGCCCGTATGTTAGTTCTTAGTCATATAAATCAGAAGTCTATAGATCTGGATTCTTTTTTCAGGGTCTCAAGCGCTGGAATCCATGTGCCCTCAGGCTGAGTTCTCTCAGGGTCTTTTCCAAGCTCATCCAGGTTGCTAGCAGAATTCATTTCCTTGTGATTCTGGGCTGTGTTCTGGCTGGCTGGCCCCTAGGGGCTGTTTTTAGGTCCTTTGCCACATGGCAGCTCACGCTTACGCTTAAAATCTCTTTGGCCAGGAAACGCCCCCTCCGTTGTAAGGTCTCACCTGATTGGGTCAGTTCCAACCAGGAGGGTCTCCTTGTTGGTGAGTGAGCTCATCGTCAACTGCCGAGGGTGCTAGCTTCCTTTTGCAGAGTTTCTGCACAGCTGCACCTAGAGGAGTGTTTGGGGGAGTAGCTTAGAGAGGGGCACGCACACTGTGGGGCGGGGATCACGGGACAGTCCAGCCTGGCACAGGGGTCACCGGCTCGTTCCTCTCCTCAGAGAGCAGACACTGTCTGAGAAACCCACAGCAGAGTTTCCCGACGCCCCCAGTGTTGCCTGGGTCCAATAGTCATGCCTTCCAGGTTCAGCAGTGTGACACAGGGTGGTGTGGCTGGCCTGACTCTGCTGAAGGGCCTGTCTTGCAGGACTGGCCTGTGCCCACATCAGAGTGACTGTGCCTTGATTTTAGACCCTGACTTCGAGGCAGGCTGTGGAGGGATCAGCGTGTAGACGGGGTCAGACTCACCCTGGCTTCTTAGGAGCCAGCTGACCTCAGGCGAGTTGTCAGTGTGTAGCCCCGTGAAGTTCATGTCTGCCTGGAAACTCAGAATGGGGCCTTAGCTGGAAATGGGGTCTATGCAGATGACATGGAGGAAGGCATCACAAGGTAAGATAACCGTGGATTAGGATGGGCCTTGAAGCCAGTGACAGGTGTCCTTTGAGAGAAAGAAGAGCAATGTTGGCAATACAGAGGCACAGAGAAATGGCCCTGGCCAGTGATAGTGAAGGAGGAGGTTGGGCTGATGCAGTCACAAACCCATGGCTGGCACCAGAAACTGGAAGTGCCTGGAAAGATCTGCCCACATTGCCTCAGGAGGGAGCTCGGCCTGCCCACACTTTTATCTCAGACTTGTGGTGTCCAGAACTGGAAGAGAACAAATTCCTGTTGTCTTAAGCCCCCTATTTGTGGTCATTTGTTCTGACCATTCTAGGACCTCATACACTTGCCTCCCACCCCCATTTTCTCATCTTTTTGGTCAGTTCAGTTGCTTAGTCGTGTCCGACTCTTTATGACCCCGTGGACTGCAGCATGCCAGGCTTCCCTGTCCATCACCAACTCCTGGAGCTTGCTCAAACTCATGTCTTACCGAGTCGGTGATGCCATCCAACCATCTCATTCTCTCTTGTCCCCTTCTCCTTCCTTCAGTCTTTCCCAGCATCAGGGTCTCTTCCAGGGAGTCAGTTCTTTGCATTAGGTGGCCAAAGTATCTTTGCGGTGAGGGACAGTCATAGAACTACTGGAGCTGCCCTGAGGACACCCTGGAGGAGTGGTGTGGGCTGGCTCCCTCAGCACTGCTGGATTGAGATTCTGGGAGTGAGGTCGGTCAAGGGAGGAGGGCGGAGCTTTCATGGTGGGCCAGAGGCCCAGGCATCAGGGCCCGGTGTCTGGTACTGGAGGATGAACCCAAACAAGTCAGGCAGGGTTGCACTCCACCGAATGTGCATCAGGTCCTCCAGAAAGTTCTGGACGGTGATGTGGGAACATCTGGGCACGTGCTTGGCTCCTGATCCTGTTGAATAGTGTGTGCTCCTGTGTCTGAGTCCTGATGCTCTCGCTTGCAGTGGGGCCCCAGGGAAGCCACATCATTACCTTGTGTGGTGTCAGTTTTTCACCTGTATAATGGGCATAATGAGGCCCACCCAGTTTGAGGGCTGTCCAGGGAATTAGGTTGAGATGGCACTTGTCAAGGGGTGCACGTAGCACCCAGTCTACACTAATGCTCCGTCTGTTCTGCCTGTCCCCAAATTATTCCTCTGGGACACGCTACTCTAAATGTGAGACACAAGCTGTGTGTCCATAGGCTTGCATGGCCTTTTCACATTTGTCCACTTGAGTGATAAGCCGTGATGCCCTTTTGCATGGGCTGTGGGGTTCTTTGTGGCTGTGCAGGGGAAGCCAGAGCCCTGTAGGCCTCCGGAGTTTTATCCCAAATTGGTGGTCATTGCATAAAACTTTTCTTTAAATCGACTCCTTGAAAAAGTTAATGTTGCCCATCTAAGCCCTCCTTAGCATAATATGCTGTCTAGGTTTGTCATGGCTTTTCTTTTGAGGAGCAGGCAGTTTGGATTAGAGAGAATAATTCTGTTTTCTTCTGATATTTGATTTAAATATTTAAATTCATA